CCAACTTTTCTTCCCTGTGAAAAATCCTGCATCTTTCTATCCATCTCTGTATCACTGCTTCCGTCCTGATTGTGGCTCCATTTGAGTGTGCTGATTGTGGCTCCATTTGAGTGTGCTGGACTGGGCAGGTCGTGGGAAAGATCTCTAGGCAGCTGACTTGTCTGAAAGCCAGGCCTGGCCAGTATAGGGAGGGCAGGCAAGAGAGGAGGCCTTTCTGCCCTCCCCTGGTAGGAAAATAAAAGAGATAAATGAACCCTAATCCTGACCCAGGGGCGAATCCCAATAAGGATCCAAGTTAATTCTTCCTGCTGATCCAACCCTTGAATTCATTGTGAGAATTAGAGAGTTCTGAACACTAATTTGCCAGATCAGATTGTATAATTATCTTTTATAGGCCCGAGTGTGATGTATGCTGGGTGTTTGTGCTCCAGGGGCTGAGTGTCTGCCTCTGTTTGGACTTTAGAAGTCCTTCCTGACAGACTTGAGCATCCCACATACAGGTGGGGTGGGAACTACTGTGGTCTCTGTCTGTGATCAGACAGACCCAGCAGGGTTCAAAGCCCACCCCCGGGGGGGATGCTTTCCCATGGTAAAACAAGAGTTTTACGTGGAACCACAGGGAAAAGGGTGAACCCTATGCAAGGCCATGGTAAGGCCCAGGTGCCTGGCTGGAGCAGGCATCTTCCAGAAAGATCCCTCTAGGAAGCAACAATGGGACATTCAACAGGGGGTCTCAGCAAAGTCCACCATGTTTGGGGACTGTGAAGAAGCAGATTGTTTTAGGATCAAATTGTGATGGTCAAGCTCTTATGATTTCATAGTTCCCTTCCACCATAAAAACATTAAACTTAAACTTTTATGGCTGCAATGGTAAAGGATGATTAGTGCCCAGGCCGGATCCGTTACCTACGCATTACTGTAACTATCATTACTATGATCATCACTTGCTCTGGTTTTGAAAGACGTGAGAACATCTCTGTGGGCCCGTAAAAGTAATTGCAGCATGGTGGATGTGTTGGCCTTGAGGGAGGTTCAGGAAATGGGATCCAGTGCTGTGGCCTCCAGAGAGCTTCTTGGCCTATTTTGTAGAAGTCACTCCAATGGGATAGTTCTTATTTATTGTAGTAAAAAAAAATCACATTTATGTGATACCTAGTTCTAGCATATGAAGGGATCATGAAGGAACTGATTTGGGTTCAAATCCAAGGTGTGGGCAGAAGAGCAGTATGGTGTGGTGGGATCTGGTCAGGTGTGGGCTGCTCTCTGACCTGCTTCTGAAGGTGTTCCCCTCAGCCCCTGTCCACTGTCTCCACAGTGACGGGCAGTGAAGGCCATACTGACATAGTGGATGTGTAAAGTTCAGCAGAGCTCCTAGGACACACTCCAGCCAGTATGCCAGGGACAGACTCACTATCCCTGGGTAGTCAGCTCTCTCTTCGGGAGGTTCAGGTGGCCATGCCACTTTAGAGAACAGAGTGAAACAAATATTCAGTGGAATGCAGTGATCTCTTGAGATACACAACTGCCTAGAAATGAGTCTCTTGGGCTGTGAGCCCAAACTTCCTGCATACCTAGTACTCCACAGTCCCCAGAAGGGGAGCTGCAGCTGGAGAGAGGTTGTGGGTAGCTTGCCTGAGTTTCTGGGGGTGTGGGAGGATGTAAGAGGGGTGTCTCTGAGCTCAAGCTACTTACTCATCATGTCAAGGACTCCCAGCCTTGGGTTTCCCTGGGAACACATTAAAAATGCAGATTTTAGGTATAGATATTGTAAGGTAGGTAAAGTACTTGTCACACAAACATGAGGACTTGCATTTAAATTCCCAGAACCCATATAAAAGCCGGATGCAGTAGTGTAGGCCTCTGAAATCCCAGCACTCTAGTGAGTGGAGAATTCTTGAAAGCTCCTTGGTCAGCTAGCTTGGTGTCCATAGCAGGTGAACAGTGAGAGATCCTGTCTCAAGCAAGGTGGAAGGTGAGGACCCATGCTTGAAGTTGTACTCCAACCTCTGTAAACATGCCTTGGCATGCACATCATGGCACATGTGCACCTGCACATACACGCACACACACACACACACACACACACACACACACACACACACACACAGATAATTTTACATGCAGATTTCTCAGGTTGCCACCTATACACTATGAATTCACTTTTAGCCACATCTCCAGCAGATCCTCAGAATTACTAAGGGCTTCCTCCCAGTGCTCAGGCCTCACTTGAGACCAGTCAGGACCATTGGCATGGAATTAGGTCTTAGTGTGATTTTACAAAAACCTAGGGGAAAGGGGATGGTTCCAGAATCCCTCATTCCCCTCTTCATGACACTCCCCAACTCTGTAACTTCAAGAAGACCCCAGCCCAGGGTTCTGATACACTGGCTTTTCTATTCATGGAGAAGTGTGAAGACTAAAGATTGCTTCATGTTAAAATTAATTCAGCTCTCTACCAGAAGGAGGGGCAGAGCTAAAACTGTCTCCATTCATCTGGGGTCTAGCTTGAATGAGTTTATGGGGTATGTTCCACCCAGTAATAAACTGAGAATAGGTGGATGTGGACTGCTTTGCAGAAAGCAGGGATGGGAATCTGTTCTAGATGCAGGGGTGGAGGTGGGAGGTAGCCTGCAGTTTCATTTGCTCTCTGGGAATGAATTTTCTATTTATGCCAGTTGGCCAGTGAGGTTACAGGTATAACACAGTTCTTCTGGGCACAGATGATCAATTTGCTTTGTCCCATAGTGTGGTGATATATTGTGTATCCTAATAAACTTGCCTGAGGGTCAGAGGATAAAATCAGCCACTAGATTAGACATAGAGGTCAGGCAGTGGTGGCATACACCCTTAATCCTATCACTTAGGAGGCAGAGATCCATCTGGATCTCTGTGAGTTCAAGGCCACACTGGAAACAGAGCCAGGCAGTGGTGGCACACACCTTTAATCCCAGTATTGGGAAGCACACATGCCTTTAATCCCAGGTGAAGTGATGTCTGGGCAGTGAGGTATATAAGGTGTGAGGAAATAGGAATTCTCTCTTTAGGCTGAGGATTTCATAGAGGTAAGAACTAGTGGCTGGCTGCTCTGCCTCTCTGATCTTTCAGTTTTCACCCTGATATCTGACTCTGGGTTTTTTATTAAGACCTTTTAAGATTTGCATTACACATAGTCAGGAACCCAATGCATGAGGCTGGGAAAATAGCTCAAGTGTAAGCCTGAGGATCTGAGTTCAATCCCCACCACCACCACCCATGTACAAAGCATTTATACACCTAGTGCTGGGAAGGTAGAGACAGGAAGTTTCCCTAAGGCTCACTGTTCAGCAGGCTTGCTCCAGTTACTGAGTCCCAAGTCCCAAATCCCAAATCGCAGTGAGAGACCCTGTCTCAAAAAATAAGGTGTATAACTCCTGAGGAGTGACACCTGAGTTTGATCTCTGGCCTCTACACATGTTCACACATCCATATACACCTGCATCCCCAGGAACTTAAATACACAGAGACTGTTGCATTTGCGGCCTGGGGCTGGTCCTTGGGTAAGTTTATGGACATGCTAGTGGGATGCAGGCCTTGTACACATGTCACTGGAGAGGCACTGTAGTGCAAGAGTTCCCCTTCCCCCATCTGACCTAATGGCTGGCGGGGTTGGCTGCAGAGGACCAGCCCCGCCCTGACTTCAGGAACTAAGGGAGCCTGGAGTGGTGATGTGTGGATGTTCACTCAGCCACCCAAACAATCCTTTCTCTTGTGAGTGAAGGTTACCAGTTTTCTGTTTCAAGTCTGATTGTATTCTTTTCCCCTCTTGTCTGTCTTCTCTCTGTTTTCATCTGCCAACCTAGGGGTCTAGAGTGATTTCTTTGAGCCTAATGATGGGGAGGCTTAGAATGGAGCTATTATCTCTAAACACCGTTTGAAATACTACTCTTCCTGGCGTCTGAAGTAGATTGAACAGAGGCCGGATTTAAAGATTAAATATCTGTTTTAACAGCAACAACAACAGCAACTCCGCTGATACCTGCACATTTGTTCAGGAATTACCTGTACTCCCTCACACCCCAGAAACCCACAAGGGAATGCATAGTGCATAGCAGTTAGAGGTATATACCTGGTGTTTATTGGAGTGTGGTGGAGGCCGGCTGCAGAGCCTGATGCTACAGATGTACTGCCCTGTTGAATGAGCTCAGACATAAAGTTCAACATAGAAAAATAATGGAATAGGAATCTGTGTAAAAGGACCAGTCACGGACTAGGCAACCAGCTCCTTTGGTAAAATGCTGCCTTGAAAGCTTGGGAACTTGAGTTCAATCCCCCAAATCTGCATAAAGGAAAAAAAAAAAAGCTGGGAGTTGGGAATAGTGTGTGTGTGGGCGGGGGTAACTGCATACAGCATGAGCATGCACACACATAAACACATACATGTGCACCTGCATATGGCATGAATATGCACACATATGAATGAATACACATGAATACACACACGAGCACACACATGAAAGGTCTCACTCAAAATAGAACAGCTCAATAGTCAATCATCCATTATTTTGCTATCAATGTCTATTGCTAATAACTTGAAACAAGATCGATATCCATTGTAATATGTTTGTATTTCCTTAATTCTAGCTTTAGTTTATTATTTTTTAAAACTGATATTTCTTTGAAAGTAGTTTTGAATTTTTCATGACCCCAATTGAGTGGATTTCTTCTGAAATGTGGTTTCACTTTGCATATTAAAGGATGATTAGCAACTGTCAGCCAGATGAGGTGGCTCATGCTTATAATGTCAGCACTTTGGAGGCTAAGGTAAAAGATGCCTGAGTTCAAGGCTAGTCTGGGCTACATAGCGAAAGCTTGTTTCATGAATGAATAGAAACTGCAACCCTTAAGCCTTTGTGCCCCTAGAAGACCTGACGTTCAGGGTCTGCCGTCACCAGTGGCGAGTCTGATGATGGTGTGTTCAGTCTTGCTCTGCTCCCAGATTTAACCTCCCCTTATTGTTTTAGGTAAAACCAGAGGTTTCTGCCGAGGTGGAGCGAGGACAAGAGAAAGGTGAGTTGTGGGTGGATGTCTCAGTGCAGCCGTGTCCCTTCTGGTCTTTGTGCTTTTTTGGAGGTGGAGTCATGTTCCTTTGTATGCCCCCAGGTGTAGACACATCCCTCACACTCTGTGTGCCTAGCCAGAACGCAGGCAGCAGGCAGGGGCCTTACCCTTGGCTGTGAGAGCAGGCTTAGACAGGTGAAAATACAGCATGCAGTGAATCCAGGCAAGGCTGTGCTCGCTGCTCTCCTGATTGTCACTCAGGTTAATATAACTGCTCACACCTCCCAAAACTCCAGCAGATAGGTTACAGTATGCCCAAAGACCAGACAAAGAAATTGAGGTAAAGTCACATGCCTACGATGGTGTGGGTAATTTGGGAGGAAGTCAAGACTCAAAGCTGGGTCCATATCGTTGCAGTTCTATTTTGCACGATGGAGGGACCCCCTCCCCCAACAAGTTCTTGCTTCCTGTTAGAGTTCACTGCAGGGACAGTCTTGCAGCACAGGGAGAATCACCAGGCAGGTGACTCCAAGCCTGCACACACGGGAGATAGACAGCAGGTGGACCACACCTGCTGCCCTTCAGGAGTGCAGAGACTACCCGCAGGATTAAACAGGATCTCAGAGCTTTCTGGAAAACTGCCCACCCAAGTCTGGTCCTAATAATGCTGGATGTAGAACACATGGCCTCTCCCCTTATCCAAGACCTGGCTTTGCCTGTAACTGTCTAGATTCCTCCATCCAACGTGGTTACAGCAATCCTGGCCATAAATCTCAGGGGTAGGTCCTGAGGGGGAAGTTCAGAATATGGGCAGGTTTGACTAGAGACACAGATCATCCCAGTGTCTCCTGCAGAAATGAAGTGCTGGGGGTGCAGACAGAGGTGGAACCCGGCAGGTCATGAGAGCAGGACAGAGTGGTCCTTTGCCTGTTTCCTGGGACAGATACAACATTGGACAAGAGGCAGTATTTTTTTTTCTTGTTTTAATCTTGCCAGTTATGGATTTGATTGCAGATGAATTCGTCTGTAAGATGGTGATGCTAACTCTTGCTCCTTGGGAGACCAGGAACAGAATGAAACAGGACCAAGGTCTGTTAGAGTGCAGAGTCCTGACAGTCCTGGCAAAGGATTTATCTCCCAGCCTTCTCTTCCCTTCTTCCAGTCACCTCTCTGGCTTTGGATTTTGGGGAACCAGCTGGGGTACCCATGGTGTGCTCTAATCTGGGGGCTCCAGTCTCTCCTCCTAAAATAATCCTGTTTGCATCTCCCCTAAGCCTGTGTCTTAAACCCAATATTCCATGTGTCACTTGATGCCTTTAAGAAACCCACTGTAACTTGTCATTTATTGTCCCAGCATCTATGTCTCCTGGGACACTCATCTCATGTCCCATTATTTTCTAGTCCTCCTTCTTTGCATCTAACCCCCCAGACAAGATTCTTTCTGCTCTCTGCATCCCCACACCCTTCCCTCCTGCACCATCCGTGACCATCACCTTCATAAAGCCCATAAGCACACGTCCCTCGGGGCTGGCTGCTCCTTCACCTGGCCCTCCAGGATGTCACCTGCACTGCTGCTTCTGAATCCCCTCGGGGCTCTAGGCGATAGGTGTGGAAAGGCATCTTGTTCCTGGGTCTATGCATCCCATTTCCCATCTTTTCCTATCTTCACTTTTCATCTGAGGATCCAAGGAGCACAGAGAAGGTGTCTGGATGACGGTGGGCTGGCTCCCTGATGAGAGCGTGACCTTGTACCAAGTGACTGTTGTTGAGTTTGATAACTGGAGGGCTGCGTGCATATTGGGGACAGGGATGGTTAATCAGAGACTTGAGGGGATTTCCAGGCAAACTGTGGGTACTGCCTTTCTGAAAACAACACTCTTGTCCTTTATCAGTCCTCAGGTTTCCTCCTCAACCCAAATGCCAGAGTGTCGCATAGGATGTAGCTTTTTCCTCAGGCCTGAATGGCAGTAATTCCATTCTTTATTCATTCATTTCTGCAGATATTCATTGATGTCTACCATCACAGAGACTGCACTAGTTGGAGGATTTAACAGAACAGGACTGATCCTGTTTTCATAGAGCTCGCCTTCTAATAGGGAGAGTGTAGGTGATATGCAGAAAAAAAGAAGGCAAGCAACCAAACAGTCTGCAAGCAGCTGATGGTATTGCAGAACAATATGGAGCCAGAAAATACAGCTCAACACAGCTGGAGGGAGGAGGGAGGGCAGGTTGCAGCATTCCTTAAGGGGAGATGGAGACTTGAAGGGAGGGGAATGGAGGATACCCTGCATACTTTGGGAAGAACCCTTGGGACAGAGAAAACAGTCACATCAATGGATCAAAGCAGGAGCATGGAAGCACAAGGTCGATTTGAGAACCAGAGCAGATGTAGTTGGGTCTCAGTGGCAGCTGATTCACAAGAGGACCAGACCCAGAAGAGCCTGGAGGCTCTAGACCTGGCTGTTGAGGGATTGTAGCAGCCCTGGCAGGGTTTTTGAGTGACCTGTGCTAGGGTCTGACTTTCCCTCCTAAGGTCCCTTTGCAGGGGCTGGTATGGAAACTCAGAGGAGCAGGTGGTTAGGAGGAGAGGTTCTAAACTCACTCTCTCTCTCTCTCTCTCTCTCTCTCTCTCCCTCTCTCCCTCTCTCCCTCTCTCCCTCTCTCCCTCTCTCCCTCTCTCCCCTCCCTCTCTCCCTCTCTCCCTCTCTCCCTCTCTCCCTCTCTCCCTCCCTCCCTCCCTCCCCCCCCCCCCTCTCTCTCTCTCTCTCTCTCTCTCTCTCTCTCTCTCTCTCGTGTGTGTGTGTGTGTGTGTGTGTGTGTGTGTGTGTGTGTGTGTGTGTGATAGACTGTACCCATCTCCCTCCTTCCCTGTCACATACAGAATGGTAGTGATGTTGTCGATGAGCTGAAAAGCCCTGGTTGCATTTCAGGAGCTTCCACTACTGCTGAATTTAGAGTCATCTCTGGCATTGGGGTCTGGACTTAATAAGAATGTCACCCCCAACACACACACCCCTGAAGGCCTGTTGGCAAAGGAAATAGGAACATGGATAAGAGGAGAGTGACTAAACGCCTACGTTCTCTTGTTCTGGGTGTGTTCGGACATGGATAGGTGCTAGGTGCATTTGAGGGACACCTGAGAGTGACACCATTGGGCCTCAGAGCGGCTGACAATACTGAGGATGCTCCCATGTGGGCTCCTCGAATCTCCGAGGGCTGCCCTTGTCTTGCAGCCCCGCATCTTTCTTTCGCTAGACTCTTCCCTCTGAGAACATGCAGCTTGACAGTTGTAGAGATGTTTGGGGTCAGCCATCATGCCACAACAGCCATCAAGGAGAGGCAGGCTCAGAGTGCCCTCCGCCCAGTTCACATTGGACACAGAGGGTCTTTCTGAGAATGTGTCCATGTGCATCTGGCCTTGGTAGTTGTTCGGAACCGTGTGATGGAAGTTGAGCCTGTAAGACTATGAATGTCTGGCGTCCATCTTTGGGGTGGGGCCAGGGAGGGATGTTTCTCCGTAATGGAAGAACTAGATGCATATCCTGGTGAAGCCTTAGAAATGGGTGCTCTGTTGAAAATGCCTGGAGAAGGAGAGAGGAATCTTTGCCTGTATGCTCCTGCCAAGGCCAAGGCCAGGTGTGTTTCTGGGCAACTCCTGAGGACACCTTCCCACCCCGTGCCTTGCCCTGCTGCCTCAGTAATCTTACAGGATTAGAGTGCTGGCTCTGTCTACTTCCTCTGGAAGAGCTGTGACATCACTGCCTCCTGGCCCCCAAGGCTCCCGTGTGGTGTCAGCAGGAGGAAGGACTGTTGTAACTGATGAAAAATCTGACACCCTGGGAGGACATGCCCTTTCCTCGGCTCCATCCATCATGTGTATGTGTGGGGGAGGGGAGATGGCGGGAGGGGGGAGGGTGGGGGGGCCGGAGCTGCCACTCAGATGACAATTTCCACCAGGCAGGGAGTTGAGAGTGGAAAGCTGGGAGCTGGAGCAGGCATCATTAGTGCAGGGGTGAGCTCAGCCAGGGACTAGTGTCATCCCAGGGATTTGTAGGTGGAACTTCCCCCACGGGATCCAACTGTGAGTCACTGCGGTTGTTGGTGTCCCTGCATCGAACTTCTTCTCTAGGCCTCCCACTCTCCCCTGGGACATCATGGTCACAGGTCAGGGCTAGTGACTCACTGGGTACCTGAGCCAGTTCCAGGGGTGGAGTCTCACCTCCTGGCATGTGGACCCTCGGTGTGATGGCCACAGCTAGGCTGGCTGCTGCGTCAGAAGCTATGTGCAAGATATGTGGACCAGCGGAAGGCCCTCTCACCCTGGGGAGTTCGAGCAGATGCCACAGCAGTGGCAGATGTATTTCAAAGGGCTACGTGGGGAGTCCAGGGTGCTTCGCTTCGTGAGACAGCTAGCTGCAGCCACTGGGGTGAGCTTGGCAGGGATGCCTGAGAGATGGGGAAGTAGCTCAGAGCCCTGGAGTACGGTGCTGGGTGCTGAGGGGGTAGAACACATGGAGTTTATGCAGAAGGCCAAGCACAGACCAGCTATCACCTCTCCGGCTTGAGTTTCAGCTCTGAGCGAAGGAACCATTTCACTGGTTCTTATTGCCAGTTCACAGCTGCCTGGGTCACTGTCTCACCTGAGGGCTACCCATCTGTGCCACAAACCAGACAGCACAAGGCCGGGGTGGTTGTAGGGTAAGAGAAAAAGAAGGTCCCTTAACTAGTTGGAGGCTGTGTGGTGGCATTTTTTAAAATGCCCGTCTTTTATTTTTATCTTCTCCCTCTTGGGGTCTGCTTTTGGAGAGAAAAAGGGAGGAAGGATGTGAAGTTGGGTGGGTAGGGAGCAGGGAGGATCTGGTAGGAGTTGGAGGGAGGGCAAAAATCATGGTTCAAAGATAATGCATGAAAAAAATTAAACAAAAAAAGTCCATAGGGACGTGTGGAAAGGATCGCCTGGAAAGCATGCATTCTCCTCTCCTCGGGAGGCCTTTATTTGAAGTTTCCCT